TTCATCAAAATCAAAAACTGATACACAGAATTATGTATCTTAGTGTAGTCTACTTGTGTGCCAAGTTATATTGAAATCGGACTAAAACTGTAGGAGGAGTAGCGTTTTGAAAAACTGTTTACAGACGGACGGACACCTTACTATCGCATAAGCTCTTCTGGTCTCTGACCAGTAGAGCTAAAAATAGGGTGGGGTCATTAAAAAATTCTTCTTAAGAACCACCTGGCCAGAAAAGCTGAAACATAAGTGGAAGCCTCCTGAGGTAGTGTAGATTCTAAATTGTTCAAATCATGCCCCCCCCAACAGGGTAGGGTGGGGCCAAAATAGGGAATCCTCGAAGTTTTACATTGAAATACATTGTATATAGGGAAATTGTTTTTTATGAACCATTTGGCCAGAAAAGCTGAAACATATCATGTGGAAGCTTCCTGGGGTAGTATAGATTCTAAATTGTTAGCTCTTCTGAGCCAAAGGCTCAAAGAGCTAATGCTTTGGCCATTTGTGTGGTGTGCATAAACTTTTTAGAATATGGGCCATAACTCAAAGAACCCCTAGGCCAATTATTGTCAAATTTGTCACGGGGTATCCTTGGCCCAAGGGCTCCCGTTATACTAAAACTAGGGTTGTGACCCTTAAACAAGGGGAGATAATTAGGAAAATAGAAACAAAAGTACTGGTTGCTAAAAAGTCTTCTTCTCAAGAACCACTGGGCAGATTATCACCAAACTTACACAAAAGGATGAGGATATGTTGTAGATTAAAATTTGCAATGGGATTTACCCTGGGACAAAGGGCGTGGTCTCAAGGTCACTTCAAAGTTGACCAAAAATTACATTTTATTAAAATGTTAATATTTTGCTTACTATAAGGACTAGGATCATCAAATCTTGTCAGTTGATGCATCTAAGGACCTCATATCATGTTGACTCAAAAGTAGGTCCCGGTGACCCACTTTTTTAATTTTGCAGCCATTCTTTTTCAAAGTGATTTAGAGGCATATTTTGAACAATTTAAGGCCTATGATCATCAAACTTTGTCATTTGATGTATCTTGGGTCCTCGGAGTAGGTCAACAAAAAAGTAGGTCACCTTGACCTACTTTTTGAATTTTATGGCTAATCTTTTTCAAAACAATTAAGGTCATTGATTCGAATACCAAGAGGTTTAGAATCATTAAATCTTGTAAGATGATGCATCTTGGGGCCATAAAACATATTTATTAAAAAGTAGGTCACAGTGACCTACTTTTTGAACTTTGCAGGCATTCGATTTCAAAGCATTTTAGAGGCATATAATTGGGACATTTTAAGGCCTATGATCATAAAACTTAGTAAGTTGATGCATCTTGGGTCCTCAAAAAACGTGACCTACTTTTTAATTTATATAACTATGATTAAATATTTCAGGTACTAATTGGCTTAGAATCATCAAACTTTGTCAGATGATGCATCTTGGGTCTTCGGAGTAAGTCGACTGAAAAGTAGGTCACCATGACCTACTTTTGAAAATTTATGGCTTTAATTAAATATTTTGGGTACTAATTGGCTAAGAATCATCAAACTTTGTGAGTTGATGCATCTTGGGTCTTGGGAGTAGGTTGACTGAAAAGTAGGTCACCATGACCTACTTTTGAAAATTTATGGCTTTAATTAAATATTTCAGGAACTAATTGGCTTAGAACCATCAAACTTTGTGAGTTGATGCATCTTGGGTCCGCAGAGTTAGTCGACTGAAAAGGAGGTCACTGTGACCTTTTTTTTTTTTAAAATTTTATGTCTTTATTTAAATATATCAGGTACTTATTGGCTTAGAATCGTCAAACTTTGTCAGTTGATGCATCTTGGGTCCTCAAAGTATGTCATCTGAAAAGTGACCTACTTTTGAAATTTTATGGTTATAATTTTAAAAATATTTTAGGTATTAATTGGCTTAGAATCATCAAACTTAGTTGATGCATCTTGGGTCCTCAGAGAATGACAAGTGATAAGTAGGTCACCATTACCAACTCTCAGGTACTAATAGGCTTAGAATCATCTTGGGTTCTCAGAGTGTTTCATCTAAAATGTAGGTCATGATGACCTACCTTTGGAATTTCAAGGCTTTATCTAAATATACAGGATACTTAGAGGCTTCAAATAGAAGTGATAGGTTGTACAATTTATCAGAAGAGCGATTGAAGGCCCTTGGACCTCTTGTTCAAATCATGGCCCCTGGGGGTAGAATGGGGCCACAATAGGGAATCAATATTTTACATTGAAGTGCGTAGAAAAATCTTTAATCTTCTTCTCAAGAACTACTAAGCTAGAAAAGGTGAAACATATGTGGAAGCCTCCTGAGGTAGTATAGATTCTAAATTGTTCAAATCATAGCCCCTGGGGGTTGGGTGTGGCCACAATAGGGAATCAAAAGTTTTACATTGAAATACATGTTTATAGGAAAAATCTTCTTTCCAATAACCACTGGGCCAAAAAAGCTTAAATTTATTTGGAAGCTTGCTGAGGTAGTTTAGATTCAAAATTGTTCAAATTAAGACCCCTGGGGTAGGGTGGGGCCACAGTAAGTATTCCAAGGGGGAAAATCTGGAGAGCTACTCAGGTGAGTGTTGTGGCCCATGGGCCTCTTGTCTATCTTCTTATGTCATCCTTTACATTTTTTTTTTACTTTTTTCAAGAACTATGGGTCTAATTTCAATTAAACTTGCTGCAATGCATCCCTATGTTAAAGGGGATTTAAGTTTGTTGAAATGGAAGGCCATACCCTGAATACAGAAAAGATGAAGAAGTATAGACATTTAAAGATCACTAAAAAGATCAGAACCAGTTGAAAACTTTTCATAAAGTGGTTTTTCACAAAAGTAGAGACTCATAAGTGCAATAGCTGTGATAACTGGTAAGAATGCTTTTGTGAAACTAAGATTTTCCTTCAGAAATTTCTGTAGATGGAAAGAATTTTTTTGTGAAAATTTCAACAGAAAAGCAAAACTTATTTTAAAACTTCTTATTGAATGTAGATTGTGGCCTCAGGGCTGAGACACAAAAGGGAGTCCAAGTTTTATATTAGAACTAGATGAAGTCCCGCGAAAGCGCGGGGAATTGAATTTATACCACTACCGGCAGAAAAATTCCAACAATATACATTGTAGTTTCTATTGACAGCCTACAGGCTTATAGCAGGAAGACTTAACATTTATTGTGAAACCTGTTAAAATATGTTATGGATATTGTACTGCAGGTGCTCTCATTTCATTTCCGTCAAGGATAAAGCAGTGAAAATGCACATTTTACTGATAAAATGAATTTTTCCGTAAAAATTAGCTTTTAATGCCATATAAAGAAGCCGAGTATTTGATACAAAAGACTGTATTCAGAAAAAAACCCTGAAATGTATTGATTAAAGCACAAAATTTTACAGCTTTAATTGTATTTGAACAATACCTTATTCATTAGTTTTCTCTTTTCATGTAAGCAAGTTTATTATGAAGTACATATTGAACATCATATAGCATCGAGCCCGATGTTAAAAAGAAAAACGAGGCGTATTATAAAAAAAGTTTTTGTGTGAATGGTCATTGAAATAATGGTAAATCATTGATAACACTATAATTTGTAAATATACATGTACTTATATATTTTAAAAGACTATTAATAGGTTTTCCTAATATATTTATCGGTAAAATTTGTATATTCCTCACTGAGAGCATCGTGGCAACGAACCCGAAGTGCAATTTATCGGTGAATGACGAAAATAATTTGCACATTTCCCTTTTTAATCGGTTATCACAACTTATTTCTTTTATATCATTTAAATCAAGTTTTGATTGAATAATTCAGTGATGACGCTTTATGAAATAGATAAACAATTGCTTGTTGTCAGTTTCATTAAAAATTGCCAGTAACTTAGATCCGCCAACCGGAACCGCCATCGTACTCACGTTTTTGCTATTTCATGGCTGTTTATAGAAAATAAAAGTAAACTTTTTTTAATTTAATGCACGATACTTACTATGCGAGTGAAATCTGAATATAGTTTACGGACATCATCTTGTATCTAGTGTATTGTTAGAGGAGTAAGTAAGAACTCTGGTGCACCCGTTTCGGAGTTTATTTGCAAAATTTTTTAATTTATAAGTATAGATAAATGTATATAGGAAACATCTTACTGACAGAAACACCATATTTGGACATATTAAGATGCAAGCATTTCCCTTATTTGTAAATTTAAGTTGAATTGACCCATCTAGACTAGGGTGGGACAATACATATACCGTAATATAGATCAAAGTTTTATACAGTAAATATATCGAGTAAATCTGTAAAATTATTTGTACTCAAGAACAGCAGTGCTAAAAGAAGATGGGCGAACAAGCCTCAATTTTTTTTAATAACAGAATGATTTTTACAGAGAAAATTTTCCTCAGAAAAGTTTTATTTATCATAATTTCATAAACTTCAATGATGAGAACTTTACTCTTAATAAATTCACAAATTGATTATGATTTTTATATATCTGAAGCTATAGGCATTCTGTGCGCCTTGTTCACCCACCTCCTTAAGTCTTATTGTAAAGCAAGCTGCTTCATGTAGTGTAGATTCAAGTTTGTTCAAATTATGACCCCCAAGGCTAGGATGATGCCATAACATGGGAGCAAACCTCAATATAGAAATAAATGGGAAAACATTTTAAAATATTTAGAAGAGTAGGGTCAAAATTATACTAGAATTAATATTGACACGCAAGCATCCCCATGTTACCCCTTTGGCTAGGGTAGGGACACAAAAGAGTATACATGTATAGAAAATACAAATCAAACTGGGCCACTATTGGCAAAATTGATATACAAGAAACCCTCATAGTGAAGGCTTACAATTGTACAAAATATCTATTTTTAGGCAATTCTTCAGATTTTGCAAGAATTACAATGTATATTATATAATGTAGGAATTAATTCCTTCATTGCAAAAGCCCTTCCTGACAAAGGTTTCCAATAAAAAAAATAATCTCTTTTTAATAAGTTTTAGTTTGTACAAATTTATTGCTCAGAATTCATATATGTATGAAAAACCATTATACAAAAAATTAAAACTTACATGTAAAACAAAATTTTCAATGTATATCTGTGACAATTTCTTCAGCATGATTAAGTAGTCTTTAGTCTCTCCAAAAAATCACTTAAATACTTGGTATTGCATAAAGATTCCTTTGTGTCAGAATTTGATTAATGAGTATTAAAATCACATAAACCACTCTTTTCACACACTTAGATAATATAGTAATAAAAATATCATTGTTTACCCTTGCAAAGCATTGATACAAGATATTATGACATATAACCATGGACGTCTTTGTAACTCTATCAGAGTTTTGTGATTAGGAAAAAAACCTCTCTTGTTTTAAAGTGGCAGTGAATCACATGCATTTGTTTTGGAAATAATTTTTTTAACCCATAGTATAATGTTATTATTATACTATGGGTTAAAAAATTTATCACCGAAACAAGTACCTGTGCAGTGAATGTAGATGTTACATCACATGAAAGAATTGTATTTGCCGGTTTCAGTAATGTCGTTGTAGTCCATCTTAAGAAGACATAGAAAGACAAATCCTTCTAGAATGCATAAAGAATTGGCTGCCCACTCTAACATGAAGGAGAAATTGTACTGTACAGTGGTGTTATTGGGATAGATGTCACGTGAGGTAGAATCCATATCACGTAGGGCGATGAAGCAGATACCGCTGGCTATACCACACATACCTATCAAAATATTGAAATGGTATAATCCTGATCATAATGAGGACTAGAATGGCAGCGCATACCCAAATAACTGAGTAAGCTGCTTATTTAGAAACAATATATATATACAAAGTATTGAATCTTTAAAAATAATCATATAAAGTCAATGATAATTACGGTTGAACTTCGTTATCTCGAACACCGATTTCTCGAATACTAGGGATATATCGAAGTGAGTTGGCAGTCCCAACCACTTTTCTTTTACGTTTTTACCCTCGTTATCTCGAATCATCGAATATCTCATTTAATCTTGGTCTGAACAAGTTCAAAATAACGAGGTTTGACTGATTTTTTTCCAGATTGTGAAAAAGTATATCACAATTTAAAGTTGATTTTTTTTTTTAAAATTTCCCCGGAAAAAAATCTCCCTCCTTCCCCAAGTAATCGTGACCCTTAGTATCCACTTTTGTCAAGATAATAATGAGAAAAGTTCACCATTTACGCATGAAAATGAAAATATGTGTTGAGTTACAAACCTGCTATGAGGCACAAAATTGATGCTGCAAGATAGAGGGTCGATCGCTTGGCATCGTTACACTTAGCTGGCCACAGACCACATATCATGGTCAAAATGGCAAAAATCTGGATCCCCGCAGAGGCTACCGCACAGCCCACCCAGGCGCGCTCCATGTCTGAAATTAAAGGAAAATAATTAGTATAATTTTCAATGACGTCATTTATTACAGCTTTCAAATATTAATTGAAGTTCTGTGCAAAATTGAAAAGGGAATATATATTACTATTTTTGTTAAACAATAGTTGTGATTTGCCTTCTTTGATACCCCCTATATATCAATATGTGTATCAACTTTCACTTGCTGAAAATAAAATTTTTTGGGAAAATTGTACTTTTTTAAAAGAATAAAATAAATATATGTAAAAATCGAATTTAAATTATATCAGTGGAAATTATCAACACACAAGCAAATAAATACCACCACCCCCTTTCCAGAAAAAGGAATATGTAAAGAGTTAAATTTCATGATTATGATGGATTAAAATACAAAATTCTCTTTATTGGTACCTGTCAAATCCCCCATCCCCCCAAAAAAGAGTCACAGAATACTGAAACATTTGACTAATCTATATATAATTATAATGTCAGAGAGCGTGTTTTTTAACGTTGCACTTAAATTATCTTAAATTTTGATTCATAAACCAACTAATAACATCCTTAATAGTTTGTTACCAGTCTGTCAATATATTTTTTCCCCTAGAGATACAGTTCTGCAGCTAGTTTGGATCCAAATCTATTTACATTTGTACTGATCAAAGGTCATTGTCTTACATATCACCAAATTATACAGAAGACAAATATTCTTATAAAACTCACGAAGGTAGCGCTCATCCTCCGCTTTCTTTGGCATCACCCTAGGGATCAAGTCCTGGTAAGTGTAGGCACATTTGTTTACACGTCTCTCATAAGGCACGTCTGAATGAAATATATATATCTTTGAAAATTAATATCTCTATAAAAATTTCCTTTGTGGTTCAAATTGTAAGCAAAGCAGAAGGAGAAATTATTTTTCCAACAAGTTTGTGTGAAGGCGGTGGAAAGATAATGACAAAAATTCAATCCCTCTACTTTTCTTTCTAGAGTATACATGTACTAGTATACATGTTCTTTCATATAAATATCAAATTTTTCTTTATTTTAATCATTTATTTGACATAATGTTCATATTTTTTCCATATGAGTATTACAAAATGCTTGGCATTATTGTCCTCTACAATTTTGTTTTTTTCAATTTTACTTTGTATGAAAAATTCTAAATTTTTGTAGAGGAGAGAATTATCGCTTGGTTTTTTTTCTTTTCTTTTCAATTTTTTTCTTTTCCTTCTTTTTTTCGGGTTTTTTTTTTTGGGGGGGGGTTGTTTGTTTGTTAGTTTTTCTTTGTTTTTCTTTGTTTTTTGGGTTTTTTTTACTACACTGTTCTATAAATAAAACACTTTATTGATCCCTCTTCTTGAGAAAGAGAGTCTTCACCTTTCACTTTGAGATTGATATCTTCTATCTTTAAATACAGCCCCCCCCCCCCTCCTTCCTGGATGCCTAGCAGACTTGAATTTTTATAAATTATAACTACCGCTATACTATGCTATTCCTTACAACTAAAAAAAAAAAACTAGATTAATCACAATCGGATAAATGACTTTTAAGAAGTTGCTTTTGAGATCACGATCAAATATATATCGTATGATGATGGTACATAAATAAGTCTGAACAGGCCCAGGACCCATGTAGGAGATTGGGGAGGGGGTGTCCTCAAGTAAATGCATGCAGGTGCTTTGAAACTTCGATCTCGCGACATAAGAGGCTCAACTTATACATAACTGAGACATAATTAGCAAATACTCAAAGAGTCGAATGAAAAAAAAGACAATTTCCATTGTAACAAATTTATAATGTTGTTCTTCGCGAGATTAAATCTCTCTCTGTGGGAGGGCTATTTTCAATTTTCCTTGGTTCTCAGTTCTATATGTACGCATTGTTTGTGGCATATAGGTTCTCCATTGGCGTCTTTTTGCATACAAAGACACTGCATGTATATGTATAAGCTATAAGCACTGAAAACGTCTGTTAATTCAGAATAACTGTAAGTAGACACCAATGTCAATTATTAAAATCAAACAAACAAGAAACGTACACAGACTTTGCAAAATAAAGATAAATAACTATTGGTACTCTAAAAAAAATATTTTCAGCATGCGCGGATCTGGGGGGGGGGGGGGGGGTGGACCCTGGAATTTGCAGAGTTATTAAAAGTATATACTGAAGCAAATAAAAAATGACTTTGGACCCCCCTCCCTTAGAAAACGTGGACCCCATCATCACTACCAAGAAATAGGTGTTTTCACGTGTGGAAAATGGATTTTACGTTATTTTTTATTTGACTGGGACGGAACCCCTACCCCCTGGAAAAAATTCCTGGATCCGTGCCTGTTCAGTATGTGGATTTTATAAGAAACAATTATTCATTTAGACCTTGTATCAGATTCAGAAATGTTAGATAAGAAATAGAACGTTATTACAACATAAATACGTACCCCAAAGAAGTTAACCACAGATACATCAGGTATGGATAGTGTAACCCCCCCCAGGTATGGATAGTGTAACCCCCCCCCCCCCTAACTTTCTTAAGATTTTTTTTTTGGCCACGGAATCTTGTAAAAAAAAAAAATACATGAATTCCAAGCATATTACACTTAAATTCATAAAATTTCCCGTTTTAGTGAAGTTTTAGAGATTGCCCCTCCAACGTTAGGACAATCTCTAAAGCTTAACAGTGAAATATTCATGTATTTTTTACAAGTTTTTGTGTCCATTTTTTCTTTAAGGGGGGGGGGTCTATATGCCAGTGCCTTTGGTAATATCTTTTCTATACTTTCTCAAATGTACAGTGCCCCACATTCCTTTCTAAAAAAAAGTTCATGACCTAACATAACCACGCTCTTGATAATCACAGCTTTTTAATACGTTACACTTTTCTCAATGGATAGGTCCAACCAACCAAAAAGATTTATAATACCTTAGTGTACAATCTATATACCCAAGCGTGAAAAAATCCGACACACCTTTATAAACCTTCCGTCATGTAATACATGTTGAAATGAATACAGATGATTTTGCTATTTTAAAACTTGGTTTTCTGTAAATGTTTTTGTTTAATTAGAATGCATGGATTTTATTCCTGAGTTGTGTAGTACGTTTTGTCAGTTTAATAATTAACAAGGAAACATGATATGACGTGTTCTTAAGATCACAATTATATCAACTCCCCCCCCCCCCCCCAACCTATATCATTTTAAGCAAAGAATTTTTTTTTCCTCTGTGCGATGGACTACTTTATAATTTTTTATGAAATATATTAATTTTCACTATTGAGTTTCGTGTTTCTGTGAAATGTCCTCGTCAGTTTTTATACTGACTCATAGGAATGGGAATTTGAACAGAATACGTACCATTAATAAACTGAAATATCTACATCTAGTTTGAGGGCAATGAGAAAAATAACTCCTGCTATATAATTATTTATCATAAAAAACCAAGTGTATAGGTGTGGCAATTCGTATGTGTCTGACTCATTTGTATATCACCAGTGTAAATCATCATTTTTATTATTATTATTATTTATTTACTTATTTATTTATTTTTTGATGTAATTTGATCATAATGATATACATTGTTGATATCAATCTCCCTATACCTTGAGTAAACATATTGATCCGTGCCCTTATTTCTTATCCGTATCGATGTACGCTATGAGATTTCACAATCATTAACACGTTCTTTATATTGATATGATCAAAAATTTGAGCACAGATGTTAATACATACCCTTGGGTACCTCCTTTGAGTAACATTTTCGCCACATTCCGAAACTATACGAAAAAGTATTAGCCACTGTTGTATTAGAATTGTCATTTTTAACTGTGTACCAATAGTCTGTGACAATACTGGTTAGAATAAGTCCCAGAGAAATCAAAATCATACACAAGACCAGGAACAAGAGACAGAGCTGTCCACGCCCCATGGCTGAGGGTCAGGACAAGGTTTTCTGTGTAGTGGTCAAGACAGCGCCCCTCTGCTACCACATAACCGGTTACGGTTCCTCTGTCACAATACCTTAATACCTGTAAAAAATGGCGAGGACCGTAACGAGGGGCGGGTCTCAAAAAGCGAAATTTAAAACACCGTATGTCAGACGATTATTTATGTAAATCTGTCGGGACAACTAATGCATTGCATTCTAAACACAGACTAAAAAGTTCAATATCGTAATTATTTACATATATCTATTGATATAAGGAGATTCATGAATATATTACTCAATTTAGTGTACGAGGTCTCGTGCTTCAATTTCCTTGAAATGATTAATGAGTTCTTGAATTTAATCATGCTGAAATTTCTGGTTCACGTGAAGATGTAATTGACAAAGAATGAGACTAAGTTCATTAAAAATAGTAAATTTTTTCAAGTCCATAAAAAGACAGATTATAATCGCCCGCAAAGTAAATGGATTAAAACATCAAGAAGAGACGGCTGTGATTAAGTTTGACAGCATTAATTGGGCGAAACATTAACATTGTATAACAATTATTTTTATCGGCACAGGTGAATACATAATGTGAATACATAATTCACCGCTGCCTATGTACGAGTATAATAAACTTTGAAAGCTAAACTAAGAACTTAATCATTATTCTTATGCTATTCCATGCTATTCTTTTTAGTGTTTTTTTTTTAAATGACCAGATGAATGTGCGATTCATATTCGCTTCTCACTGTGTGACAATCACTTTCCATGACTTTTCCATCTGACTGGGAAACAATTCTTACTGGCATTGGTCAGTTCTATCTGACTTAATGTACATGAGGATAACAAGATGTATATATTTCAAAATCTTCTGATTTAGTGAATAATACAAATCTCTTGCTGGTTGCTGCAAAGTACTAGTATATAAACTTTTTGTTGTTCCTTATGAGTGCACCCTTACGAGAAAAAATGATGATTTGTAAACTTCAAGCAGTGTTGATTAAAAAATAATACCAACATGGATTGCTTTTTTCACTGAAAAATAATACGTATGGTAGCCAGATGTGGGAATGATATTGCCAAGATCGACTGGACGGTTGGCGATTGTCTGTTGCGATTGAATCATAAACACTGTGAAATTTAAACATTTTTCATCACTAATAGCAAAAACTTCTGTGGGGTATCCGATACCTTTTGGTAGACCGTCTCCATGTTTTTCCATTTTTTTTCCTCTTCCCCGCTGGATCCATCTTATTGCAACCCTAAGGACATAGTCTGGTTGCATGCTGAAAACATGGACTATCCACTTCCATCTCCTCTTCTTGATCTCTAGGGAGAGGGACAGGGTGTTTGTCCTCCTGTAAAGTTCTTCGTTGCTGATGGTCCTTGGCCATAAGATACTCACTATCCTTCGAAGACATCTTGTCTAGAAAACATCTATGCTGCTGATAACTGTATTTGTCAACGTCCACGATACTGGCCCAAGAAGGACTCTTTACAGTCATTCTGCGATAAATTTATGGACCAATTCAGAGTATAAAACATGAAAAAAATAATTGTTTCAAATAGCAAAATGAACATCATAATTCTCTAAAGGACATATCAGTGAACTTAAAAACAAAGAATTGGTCACAAATCTGGTATCGTTAACTTTTTACAACAATTTCAAGATACCATTGATTTTAAGGTAATGTTACGGAAGTTAATGCTTGATCAAGCCTTATTATTTTTAAATAAAGCTGAATTTGACCATTTTTTTGTTTCTGATGTTCAGTAAAGAACGCTAAAGTATGATTCATGAAGTCTCGCATGAATCCGAATTTAAATTAAATTTTCGGGAAAAATATCGTTACGGAAGTTAATTCCCAGCAATAAAAGTTAAAATTCTCTTCAATAGTTATGATCAAAGTTTGTTTTAGGATATTAAACAAAAGTATGAAGCATTTCGCTCCCAAAATCGTTACGGAAGTTAATCGATTTTAAGCGACATGCTTATGATTTTGCATGAAAGGAGATCCATGCATTTCTTTGCGAGAAGTGGTTTGATTTCTTTTTATATAGGATAAAAGACATTTTTTAATATTCATTGAAATCTATTCGAACGATTTTACGGCTGAAAATTTTATCTTGAAATTTGTAAATAAATGAAGCAACATTGAGATTTGCAGTGGAATACGTTTTTCAGCATTACAATATGTTCATATCAAAACTTAAACTGCATATATATCGGTGAATATTTACAAAACCAAGTGTGTATGTTAGGTTTTAGAGTTGAAATCGACCTTTAAATTTATAGTTAAGATATTACAAAGGTAAATTTGTAAGCGACATAAAAAAATCTTAATTGGTCATGTTTTTGTAGAATGACTGTTTAACACTGCTCTGGAAGATTAATTTAGTATTGTTGCCGACTTTTGATGATTTCCAGACGTATCTCCGCTGGCTTTTGTGTTGAGGGCACGAATGTCTGTCTCTGAGTTTTTCTCTGCTGTGATCTTGCTTCCCAGGAAGATACACTTCCTCTTTATGCATATTGTGCAGAGTTGTAGGTTCTGCAGCTCTGGTACTGATCTTCATGACTTTTGACCTTCCATGAGTCAATGTTTAGCTCAAGTTTTGTCACTTTGTAACAAGGTTGTTTATTTTACTTTGTATATCTTGATGGCGATAGGAAACAAGCCCATCCTTTCCCAAGTCTTTTCTGATGGACCGTCTCAATGTTTCTTCAGGTCTTTGATTTCTTTTCCCCGCTGTAATCCATCTCATTGCAACCTTTAGGACAGAGTCTGTTTGCATTCTAAAAACATGGCCTATCCATCTCCGTCTCTTCCTCTTGATTTCTAGATAGATTTGTTGAAAATTTGAACTCCTTTCAATTTCTTCTTTGCCGATGGTCCTTGGCATTCAGACATCTGGTCTGGAAAGCATATATTCTGTTGATTATTGTATTTGTCAACTTCCATGATTATGACCATACATCCTCGGAGAAGTTCCTGTTGAAGATTATTAAGCTGACAATTGATGATTTTTAGATATTCCTCAGTGATGCTAAAGCTCTTCTGCTTTTGATATGCAGACAAGAGTGACTATCTCTGTATTACCGTCTGCTTCAGTCTGCTTGCTTTCAAGGTAGTTGAACTCTAGCATGTTAGCCGATTTTTGTTCTATTATACAGCTAGGTCTATTGCTTTGCTCAGTATGTCTTGATGACGATGTAACACAAGTGCAAGGTCGTCTAGCTGCAGAGTCTAGCTGCAGAGTATCCCAGCATAGGGTTCAGATGATTTCTCTTTTTGTGTTTGTAGTTATTTACTGACCAGTTTATTCATAATGTGAAGAGAAGTGGCAAGAGCAAGCAGCCCTGTATGAATATGGAAATCTTTTGCAAGACTTCTACCACAGACAATTTTGATAGAGAAAGCTACATACAATATCCCTATGATGACGATGATTTTGCAAGGTATTCCATAATGCTTCAGTGTTGTCCATACAAACATCGAACGCCTTCGAGAAGTCAATAAAGTTGACTTACAATAGAGAAGTTCTTTTCTTTGCTCTGCTTCACGATTGCTCTGAAAATACCTAATAAGAACAACATCGACCCCTTCTAGATACAACCTACTCTTTTCTTAATATGGAATCTACTATGACGGAGAATATGTTCAATATCACTCTAGGCCTACTCTAAATTATGCTGTTGACAGATAACATAATACCCCTCCAGTTGTTGCAATCCGTTAAATCTTACTTCATCAGTAGCTTCACAATGTGGCCAGTCTTCCAGCACGATTGCAACTCCCCTGTAGTCTAGAACTTTCCAAATATCTTTGTCATTAATGCTAGTGTTAGGTTTTATTTTGCCGTCCGTAGCTCTGCGCCATGTTGATCCCTCTCCACGCAGGCGCTTTATTTTGAGTTGGTGGTTCCAAGCTGATTGGTATGTGTAATGTTTACCCCATACTCTGGATCATCCATTTTAAGAACTCTTTCAAACAGTCCCTTCCAACACTTCAAATTGCCATCGTCTTTAGAGAATTGGTCCCTTGTTTGTCTTTGATTGAAAGATTTGATGTTTGATAATTTCCTGCTTGTGTCCTTACTAATTGGCAAAGAGTCCAAATAAATACAGCAAGATCATTGTATTCAGTAAGATAAATATAAAATATATGTATTAAATGAACATCCAAATTATGTACTGATTTTCAGTTTTTAATGCTTAACCGTTAATTAGGGTCCAGCAAGGATTTGCGGGTGCCCTATAGTAATTACTCTGTCCGTCTTGTCATTTTTCCGTCCACAAATTTTCTGTTTTTTTTCAAATAACTTTTTTTTAGGATTGACCAATTAAGTTCAAATTTGGTATGTTGGTTGAATAGGCAGTAAGACGTATTTTGATGCTTAGTTTGGTTCTCTGTGTCATCCGTTTGGAGCTGGGGTGGTGGGGTAGATTTCTTAACTTTATATAAGAGTGAATGGGCAAAGAGAGATAACTGCTGAGAATGTTCCTATTGTAAACTATGAAAGGCTTCAATGAGTCTCTTGGGATTAATTGACTTTCCTCTTGAAGAAAATCCAAAGCATTTATCTTTATCTGTCACATTGAGATTAATTAACACCTCTGTCTGCAAATGAAGTTGGGTTTGAAGTTAATAAGGTCAATTCTGAATGATGTTTACATTCTCTGAAATGTGTAAGATACACAGTGACTGAGTTATGATTTTATTGAATTCTAAAAGCAAGATATAGATAAACATATCTTTATTATTATTATTTTATTTTTTCTTTTTCTTTTTTCTTTCTTTTTTTTCCTACCTTATATAAATTCAAGAATACTATTTATTTTAACAGGTATTCAGATAATAACCTCATTCTGTCATTGCTGAAAAAATTCTTATTTTAAACTTAGGAGAAAAGGATGAGATAGCAGTACAATTAATCCCCTGGGATTAATTATCTTAACTGGTTGCAGAAAATTTTAGAGGGTTATCTGTCTGTCACATTAAGTTTATTAAGACCTTTGTCTGCAACTGTTGTTTGTTTTGAAGTTAAGGTCAGGCCTGGGTGATATTTGCATTCACTGAAGGCTGACATTTTAGAAAACACATGCATGTTTCATTCTTCTTTAAATATACATTTAA